CTCTTGAGCTCAGGAGTTCCAGACTAGCCTGAGCAATGTCATGTAGTGAGACCTCATCTCTACAAAAAAATTTTTAAAAATTAGCCAGATATGGTGGCAGGTGCCTATTGTCCCAGCTACCCAGAAGGCTGCGAAGGAAGATTCCTTTAGCCCAGGAGTTTGAGGCTGGGGTGAGCTGTGATCATGCCACTGCACTTTGGCTTGGGAGACAATGAGACCCCAGAAAGAGAGACTAAAAAAAAAATACATAAATAACATTTAAAAAAATGCAAACCATAGCTACTCGGTGTATACAGGAACTAGAAAGGCACATAAAGAGCTGATTCAGAAACTCCCTGTCCTGGTTATAATGGGTTAGGCAGACTGCTGTAAAATTAATGGGGTCTCACTTCCTCATTCACACAATTAGTGGGTTCAGTTAGAATTCTAATTAAGATCATTTTTAGTTGACTTCTCTCCAACTATACCACCTCTACTTATCTAGATCTATTCTGCTCTTGAGAGGTGTTCAAGTTTCACTGCCTCCACAAAACCTCTTCATACTTTTCCTTTCTTTGAATTTTTGAGTTTATCACTTATTCCATTCAAATGAGCATTTACTAATTCTCTAATTGCTTTGCTTTGAGTATGTTGTTTCATTCACCACGTTTAAACAGAAAAGTCCTTTAAAGACTGAAAGGAGGTACCGATAGAAACCTAGAAGAAACTTAGCTTATTCTTAGTTTAGTCTTTTTTGCCTCAGCATAACCATTAGAAAGTGTTCAGACATTCTACTACAGGCCAAGATGCAGCCTACCCCATCCCCTTGGCAAATCTCCATCAGGTGTAAGACAAGGACAGAGTCATACAATTGATAATAGACCACCTTTTGGTCAAGGTGTTTGTGGATTGCAAATGTCTAACAAGTCTCTTACAGGAAAAACCTCTCTGGGCCCAAACCGTCAAGTTAACCTAATTAGCCCTTAGAGTCCAACATGACACAGACAGACCCCACCATGGCAGCAGTCATGTGACTAACCCACCCATCTGCCTGCTGTCCATCACTTGACATCAGGTGATGATGTGGAGACCACCACCCAATCACCTTAATCATCTTCCCCCATCAAGGGGAATAGTTAAAAGCACTCAACCACAAGCAGCCATTGGTCATTGCCTTGCTAGACTCTGGTATGGTCATGTGCTCTTTGAGCTATGGCTGTTGCCATGATGCATGATTTTGGCCCCCTCCCCCACCTTGGGTAGGTGAATCTTCTTTTTCTCTCTCTAATTTACTTAATTTTTATTTTTTATTTTTTGAGTTGGAGTCTCACCCGGTCGCCCAGACTGGAGTGCAGTGGCACGCTCCCAGCCACTGCAGCCTCAACCTTCTGGGCTCTGGTAATCCTGCTGCCTCAGCCTTCCAAGTAGCTGGAATTACAGGGACATGCTACCATGCCAGGCTAGTTTTTGATTTATTGTACAGACGAGGTCTTGCCAAGTTGCCCAGGCAGGTCTCAAACTGCAGGCTCAGGCAATCCACTCACCTCAGCCTCCCAAAGTGCTAGGATTACAGGCTGAGCCACCGAGCCCAGCCCTAATTTACTTTAAATAAACTATATTTTCTAATCTAACTTCTGTATAATTCCTTGCATCTTTCATGCGACATCAGATCACACCCCCAGACACCCACACCCCCAGAGGGCCTGACCTAACACTCTGGAGACCCCACTGGGAGAGTGTGACCCTAACGTATTTTGAAGGCCCCAGCGAGATGACCCTAACATAGACTATATAATTTAATTTTAAAATCTTCCATAACATGTTAAACGTAGTTGGCATTCAATGTTTATTTGTCAATTATTTAAACTGAATAATGATATAGGAAATATATATAATATGGCCACCTTCTCAAAAAGCCACTTTCATCAGCCCCCTCAACATGAATTATCCTTATCAGTGTCATAACTTGATCATCTGGTTCATGAACATATAATGTGTACTGTGCTGTGAGACTTCAAGGGGGAGACACTACTAGATTACCACATGACTTTGTACTTGATCATTGCCTCCTTCCATAGTTGAAAAGCTCAAAAGGGGAAAAATACAGACAAACATAAACTCACTACAATAACATACTGGCCCATGAAAGACTTGTTACCCACTAAAACAGGGCATGAGAAAAGTTTTCCTATAATTAAGGAAATAAAAACAATGATTGGTAAGTAGCTACAGGTCAGACATTTGAACAGACGGCAGTGAAAACCACCCTTGCTCCTCCCCCACGCCCTTGGATGTCATCAGAAGTTCTTTGTAAGAGGAGGTCAAGTTAGGATGTCATGTGGGTGGGGATTTACCCACCTTCACCAGAAAAGCAGTGGGATACAGGTTTTACTTGTTCTAGTCCAACCTCCCCTCCTCTTCAAAATAATTAAGACTTTAGATATGTGGTCAGTCCTTCCCTATCAAAGTAAAGCAATCAAGAGAAAAGAATCATTCAAGTAAAGAATTCTTTTTAGACTGTAGTTCACTTACATATGAACGCTTTGAGTAAGGCTTCTTTTAGACAGCTGAAAAAACTAGGTAATAAGGTTACTATTTCCCTTCTAAAAGTAAAGTTTTTAACCAATTTATTTGGTGGTTGTCTTAGTTTCTCTATTCAATGAATTTAAGATAATTAACACTGTATTAACACTGAAGTAAATGAAATTAACAAGTGTTAATTATGTCTTAAAAGCTAGCCAATTCTGGTGGCTTGAAATTAAGTCAATTTACAAACTGCTCTCCTGTGATGCAACAACACTTAATACAGGTGTTTCCACTTAAGCCATGAGCCATAAAAAGTGAATTCGTTCCGTAATTCACATTATACACAAATGTTTGTGGGTCTGAATCAAAAGGGAGTGTTCCTCGTAGGGTGGGGAAGGGATTTATTCCTGGGGGGGTGGTAATGGAAAATCATAGTCTTAATCCTATTTAAAAGAATGGGACATACTGATTAAATATCTATAAATTTTCCTGGGGGAATCCCAGTGGGACAGAACAAGCTTTTACAAGGTGATGGTAAAAACGAGTGTCTCAGTCGGGTGCATGGCTCATGCCTGTAATCCCAGCACTTTGGGAGGCTGAGGCAGGATTGTTTGAGGCTAGGGGTTCAAGATCAGCCTGGACAACATAGCGAAACTCCACCTTGATAAATAAATAAAACATCCACCTCATAATTTAATGTAATTTTTTAAAAACTGCCTTTCAATGTTTTCAAACCTTTCACTGGTTTATTTTTAACTGGTGCTTTTGGTCTTGCAATTAATCCATCCCCTCTGACGGAAATCTGTCAGTCTATCAACACACAGCCCTAAGAGGACTCTGCATTGGGTTCCCTGCTTTAGCCACGCCTCTGCACAAAGCATCGCCAGGAATAGAAAGCATGCCAGGCCTGTACACACCCCTCATGCCCCTATCTGCATCACTTAATCTCAATGGCCCAACTCCTAGCCTTAAACCCTAGTTAGGTTTTCACACATCCCTATCAGATAAAATGGGCAGAATTCAAACGGAATCAGAGAATGATAGGCGTCGATATTCTTTTAATTTAGTAGAACAATGCCAGTTCGACTCTTCTAAGGTCCTTTGAAAGGAGATACCACCCAACTAGGAGCGCCTTTTCGAACTTCATGAAAAGGCACAATCCTGCCATGACAAGCTCAAGAAAAATATTCCGTCCTTCTGGAATCATGGCGTGGGAAAGGCCTTGAAGTTCAATTCTCTGCTATGCTATTCCCACCATACGAAAGGCAAGTACTGAAGATGCTCCATAAAATCTAATACAACTCCTGAAACCTAGGGTTGGCCCACTGAAATCAAGTTTAGAGTGAAATGACGATGAAGGGCGTCCTCCCAATTCCGTCTGCTCAATTACTCTACTAGTTTTCAGGAGAAGCTCTCCCACAGTGACTCTGTCTACTGTCTCCTTCCTCCCACGCACACACCAAGTCCCGCAAGCTTCCGTGGCCGTCGGGGAAAACAGTCCTTATTTGGTCACTGTCATTTAAGGTGAGTAAGCTCCTCTCCAGAGACCACCAACGCAGGAAGACACTCCCCTACTCTCCCGACTTTCCACCATCATCCGCCCCAGGGGCGGGACTCCGTCGGACTCAAGGTAACCAGACGCCCAATCGCGAGCAAAGACGACCAGACGTGACGTCAGCCATGATGAAGTCAGCGCGTCACCTCGACGTCAGCATCTCACCTCTTGGACGTCCCGTCCCGGGAGCAAAACTCCGGCGACTTTTGGCCCCGCCCCCTCGAGAGAAGGGCGGCCAATGAAGGCAGTTCTGAGGGGAATGAGGCCAATGAGAAGAGCCCGGGGCGGGGCGCGGGGCCGGAGGGCGGGGCGGGCGGCGTTGGTGGCAGTCCGAGGTCTGGCTGCGCGCAGTATATGACAGTACGTCAGCAGCGGGATGGCCGTAGCTGTGGCGGCGGCTGCAGAAGCCCGAGCAGCCGCGGCCGCAGTGGAGGCTAGAGCCGGAGCGGCGTCGGCGGCGGCACCCCGGGGAGTTTAAGATGGCGGCGGGGGGGGCGACGGGCCTGCGGGAGGAGCAG